ACAAGTGTACTTGTAAGACACATTCTGACTGAAAGAGCATAAAAATCCAACAATTAAAACCATCTTCCATCACAGCAGATGAATAAAAGATGACTAAACCCACTTCAACTAATATGGCCCTTGACGAAACTTCAAATACGTTACTATTGCAAGAGAAAATCACAAAGACATATAATGTTAAATTGGGCATATGTAAGGAATTACTGCTGATAACTAAGATTGAGTTTACCTGGCATATTTTCCAGTTTTCCAGCCATCAGTGGCTTCCCCCCGCCTCAATCCCTCCCCCTAGTACAGCTTGTAAATGATACTCCACTTTGGATGCTACAGCAAAGTGGGTTAGGACCTTTGCATACACTTAAAAGAAAAAATCATGCCTTGACATGGCTTGCACTGCTGAAATTTGCAGTTACAGAGATGAGAGAAAAGCTGGAGAACACAGTACAATAGATTAATATTTCTTAAATAGCAATCCTTCCCAGTAATGCCTGTTTCTCTTTACTAGATGGTTAGTACAATGGTATCTACCATTAACAGATCTTGAAAAAGGTTACATATCCTAAAAGTCCAGACTCTCAAAGCAAGACACAGAAAACAAAACAAGGGGCTTTAAACAACAAAAAAAATTGTTAACAGTGAAAGACAGTGCCACTTACAGAATGGAGCACGTAAGGGAGCAACTCAATACGAGAGCTTTAAACCCCAAGCAAAAAACAGGGGAAAAGTGCTGGAAGAATAATATGGTTAGAGTAAATGAACTTTTGCGTTTTCACAAAGCAGCTGAGGAATACTGTGCACACTAGTGAGGCAAAAGGGATTGGTTTTGACAATGATCTTGAACTTGGTAATGCAAACTGTCTAATGGACACTACAGTTTTCTTCCAAGAAGAAAATGGGTCTTGATTAATGCAATGAACAGTTACATGAATATGTTTCCTTCTTTCCAGAAGGAAATGGGTCTTGATTAATGCAATGAACAGTTACATGAATATGTTTTAAAGACGTAAGGAAAAAAAAACTAGTTTTAGTATTTTATTAGTACCATTTTTAATTTTTTTAGACATACCACAGGAATAGTGAGAACACTTATGTAGAAACCCTTAAGTGCCAAGTGGTGTGCACATGTGGATATGGCCTTGTGTACATTCTGGCAAGTCTACAACCCAACTAGACAACAGATGGACAGGAGTAAGAAAGAAGATCTCACAGCTTATGGGTCACAGTCTGCCTGCAATGTGTCTGTTGTCCCAAAACATTCCCCCTTTTTTTCCAGGTACTTCAATCATTCTGCATTTTCTGCTGACCCCACTTTGTCCTCAGTTCTGCACTCAGAAACAAAATCAGAGTCACTGTGTACATCTGCTTTTGAAGAAAAGGTAAGTTGATGGAGCGTCAGTGGAAAAGTGAAACACTGCTTTTCTTGGTAGCTCCTGCTGTCAACAGCAAAGAGGAAAGCTGGTCCTTTCGTACCTTAAACCAAGAGGTATTAAGCTGCAATAGTACCTCTGTATACCCCTATTTCCAAGGTAATGGTAAACACACTGTTACACACTAATATACACTATTACCAAGATAATGGGTCCTCTGTCTTCTAAGAACAGAAAATAAAATAATCATCACCACCTTTTCTGTCCTAGACTGTCCTAGCATTCACAAAGATTAAATATCAGCTGTTCACCCTCCAACTTCTGCTACATAAAGCAAAAGAGAGAGATGTTGGCTCTGGATGGCCAAGGGGACAGTCACTTCACCTCTGGATGACAGCTTTAAAACAAGAGCCCCATAATTCCTGGAACAGCCTCTCTACTGAGCACATGGCACAGACACAGACACTGACTCACTGCACGTGCACGTCCATTGTCTTCTCGGCATGTCGTGGTTTAACCTGGCAGGCAGCTGAACACCACGCAGCCGTTCACTCACTCCCCGCCCAGTGGATGGGGGAGAGAATTGGAAAAAAGGTAAAACTCGTGGGTTGAGATAAATTTAATAGGACAGAAAAGAAAGGGAAAATAGTGATAATGATAAAACAATATACAAAACAAGTGATGCACAATGCAATTTCTCACCACCTGCTGACCAATGCCCAGTCAATTCCCAAGCAGCAGCTGCACCCCACTGGCCAACCTCCCCAGTTTTTTGTTCAGCGTGACATCATATGGTATGGAATATCCCTTTGGCGAGTTTGGGTCAGCTGTCCTGGCTGTGTCCCCTCCCAGCTTCTTGAGCACCCCCAGCCTCCTTGCTGGCAGGGCAGTATGAGAAACTGAAAAGTCCTTGACTTAGTGTAAGCACTGCTCAGCAACAATTAAAACATCAGTGTGCTGTCAACATTATTCTCATCCTAAATCCAAAACACAGCACTATACCAGCTACTAGGAAGAAAATTAACTCTATCCCACCCGAAACCAGGACATAGCAATAAAAAAAAAAATACTGCTAGCTATACTAAGATGCTGGCAATAATTTGAGCAGTTTGGATAATCTAAAGTAGGCAGAAGTCCTTGCCAAGTACATTTCAAACAAAAGGAAAAGGACACACTGAAAAAAATACTTCTGCTTCAGAGTCTTTCAAACAATTTCTCTCTCAGCCTTCACACAGTCACAGAGAGACCTGCAGCAGAGTAAGACTGAAATGGCACTGCATCCAACCAACTTCTTCAGTGGGAAAAATGAGTCCACTCCGTGAAGTACTTTAAGCCACTGAAACAGTCTTCAGTACCTCCCATAAACTGCTTTTCCTCCCCTTCCATCAGGCTATTTCAGAATTTGGTTTCAACTGACATTGAAAACATACCTTGACAGTAAAATTTATGTTCTATCCCTGGTAGAAAAAATCAGTGGCATCTTTAGCATAACCTTAACTGATGTCTACTTAATCAAGAGTGGCATTTCTCAAATTGTGGTAAGGAAAATTAGTAGTCAGTCACTCCAAATTACTACACATAATTTCAAATAAATCGTATACACAGTCTCAAAAATGCAAATGAACTGCCTGCTAGACATTCAGTTAAAGCAACCGAAATTAAAGCACACAATCAAAGCATCAAATCAGATTAATGTAAGTAGACATTCTTACACAGCTTTTTGCTATTCAGTTTATTAGTATCTACCTTTAGCTATGACTCACTTTCACTGCCTCCTTCAATTCTCTTGATTGGAAATATCTCTATGCCAGATTCTAAGCACTAGTTTATTCCCCTCAATAACCTGAAAATTGACAAGGGCTGTATCAGATTTTTTTTTCCCCACTGTTTTACTCTACCACTAATTATTCAGTCACAAATCTGTTGCATATTTCATTCAGGTTGGGTTTTTTTGGCAGTAACTGAGACTTCTTTAGAAACAGTTCATACAGTTTAAATTCATTATCTGTGGCTAATTAAAATGATCTGTTTTATTGTCACAAAAGAAAATCCTGTTAGAGAACTAATGAGCTGCAACCTTCAGTAACTGAGAGGATGTGTTTACAAGCATGAACACTTAATACTAGTGCCAATCGGGTCTAATTGGGATTAACCTTTAAGTATTTACTACTACTCATAAACCTAGGCGGAATTAGAGGGAAGCACAGTCAGCAAAGTATCAGTAAATCAACAGATACAAACAGAAACAAACAATGTTAGAAACACTTCTCTTAACTATAAAATTCATGTACTGCTTAAATTAACCTAAGTAAACTGTGAATTACAATTGGATTTATGAGTTTTTAAAAATTTGCCTATTGAGGTATCTTGTCATTTTTTTAATACTAAAAAATGTTCACCCTAGACAGGACCAGTGAGAAGCAAGAGATTACTTATTAAGATGAAACAATGTATTTCATTGCTTTGGATAAACTATTTATACTTAAACATACACATCTAGAGAATGTACAATCCCAGCACCTGTATACACACAGATGCGCCCTAGAGAACCAGAGTGTTTTACCTCATGCTAAGCATGCAAGTCTGAGTCTCAAACTGGGTAATCCGATTTTCATGGGTGCTGAGCACTGCAGTTCCCGATGGACTGTAGGAGTAGTTGTGGATCATCAAGAACTCTGACAATAAAGTCAGTAATTTAGGAGACTGATTTAAGTATGTAAAATATGGAAACTTAAGCCGGTTTACTTAACTAACTTCCAATTAGTTCCATTGTACTTTATGTTGAGGAAGCTGTATCTTAGGAGAAATAATGGCTAATTATCTGCTATTAAAAATTGAGCCACATCCTATCAGGCAAAGCAACAGTAAAGAGTCACTCCTACAGCTGGAGATTTAATTAATTTGGTCCTCTGTTTGGATCAGTCTATCACCCACCAGGGTGTTGTATGAATGCCTTACTAAGAAAGTTTTGGTTTTTTTTTTTCTTTGCTTAAAATGAGAACATTTTGGCTTGATTTTTCTAGATCGAAATAAGGTACAGTAGAAATCAATAGGACATTTACTTGATATTATGCAGAAGTAAATTCATCCCTGCCCTAATACAAGGAAGACACCAAAAAAAACCCCAAATCCCTCTGGTTTATTAGGGCTTAAAAGTCTGTACTTTTCTGAAGACTTAAGAAAAACAAAACTAAACTCTGGACCATTGAAACAGTCAGCCTCTCCTTCAGGACCTTCTTTGAAAAAAGTCAGACACACTATTTTCATTCTATTCTTGTTAGTTCCTGAAGGATGAGAGCCTCCATCACTCTTTCACATGGTAAGAATGGGACTTGAATTGTTTTTCTGCTTTGTTTTTTGAGGAAGCCAGGAGGGAAGGGGATTAAGAACAAGTCTATTTGCCCAGTACACAAGAGTATCTCCAGAACAGACGCTTCTATTTATATGGTAACTATGATAACACACACAGAAATTTTAACAAGACTCAAAATATTCTTGTGCAACTTACCAGGAAAAGATTTAACTTCTTGATTACATGTTCAGAAGTTTCCACTAGCTCTTAAATCTTGAGATTTCAATCTCTGAGAACAACCATTTACCACACACAACAGAATGAGTACAACAGACAAGTTATTTTAGAAATTATTTAATTTACAAATGCATACACTGCTTCTTAAAACAATCATGGTGCAAAATCTTACCAACTCTCAGTTGGCTGCACTGATGTAAATTGCCTTTTTAGCTTCATTTACATGAGGAAGTCAATTTTTCCAGTAATGCTTCTACTCCTTTTACATTTTTATTCTGCTTCAACTTTGGGACAAGCTTTTTCAATCCGTTTTTGACTGTATTTGCCACTTTTTGATCGACGCTCCGGAGAAGGCTACAAGAAACAGGAAAAAAACCAAGGATATCAAAGGTCAGCATGTAGGTCACAGGAAAAGCAGCTGTCCGTGTAAGGGAACAGTAACTATTTAGGAAGAATATAGTTCAGGGCAGATTCTATCACGTCCTACTAGAAAAATATGTAAAACTTTCCAGAAAGCATGAAACACCAAGTGAGAACACAACCAACACAGGACAAATCAGACTGGAAGAACTGCAGATCCCTACTCAAAGCAGGTTCAAACATTGCGTCAGACCAGGCTGCTCAGGGCTTCACGCAGTCCAGGCTTGAAATCCCCCAATGCAGGAGACAGCCCAACCTGTCTGGGTCCCAGCCCCACTGCTGGGCTGATCTCATGGGGAGAACGCTTCTCCTTATCTCCAGTCTGAGCCTCTTGTGTTTCAGCTTGTGCCTGTGTCACTGCCTCTCGCCCTTCAGCCACGCACGCACTGCTGTGAAGAGCCCAGCTCTCCTCCATCCCCGCCACTGCCAGGGATGCTGTTGAGTGCCCTCAAAGCTGTCCCTCCTCCCAGCTGAACCAGCCCTGGTCCCACACCCTCTCCTCCCAGGCTAAGGGATCCCGCCCAGGACTGTGTTGGTCACCCTCCATTAAACTCGCTCCAGTTGTTGATACCTTTCTTGTAATGGGGGTCCTAACACTGAACGCAGTGAAGTACATCTAGTACACATCAAGTACTTTCACTATTGCACTTCTGGGCTTCATTTAGCGCAGGACTAAGGAGCCTTACCATTCTGTTCTTTTTTAGATATTACTTTTGGAAAACAAACCAGCTTTCCCAGGTAACTTTTCTTCCCTGAAAACAAGGAAATTCATCGCAAGCTGTAAAATACCGTTAGGAAAGAAAAAGCTTCTGCACTATCCAGATCAACCTAGGCAGTGATTGTCCTTCTCCCCTTCCTTCGGGTGACAGTGAAATATTCTTGGATTATAATACAAAATCACTAGAGGTAATGGCACACCTAATTTGCTACTTCAAAATGATGAGTGACCACTGCCTAAAAAACTTAGTCTTCTACAGCCAATGTGTGCAATCCAGAACAGAATTACAAGTTGCACTGGCATACAAATAAACCAGGATTGGAAACAAACTGTAACACCTGTCTCCTGGTACCAGGCACGCTGCATGATACTACAAGCCTTTACAATCCCTAGGATTCTTCCAAACGGTTCCCAGATTTGCAGCTACTTAAAAGCTTGTTTCTTGCTTCTTTTTAAACAAGGATTAGACATGGCAAGCTGAACTCAGCAAGACAGAAAAGGAAATAAGGTAGCTTAAGGCGAGATTTAAATTTTGTCTCTTTAGGACTCGAAATCCTGTGCAGGATGGCAACACTATAGACAGTAAAGCATGGGATGCCCATCTGAAAACACCACTATTTTCAGCTACTTTATTCCTAGATTTATTTCTATGACTATGACTAACAACTTCTAGCAGCAACTTCTGTTATACTTTTCGCTATGACAGTACTATTTAATCAAGAGGCCTTCTTTAAAACTGAATTCAACACAGGTGAGAGTGATTATTTTTTCAGCTTTTCTGTGAGTCATGTACCCCTGATAACAGCAAGAAAGTCAGAAGTACTGACAAAGGATGTGCTAAACACATTGGTACTTAACATCAGAGATTCACAGGGTTCTGCACCAGGGACAAAGAGCATACAAAGTAGCAAGCCATTCTGGACTGCATTTTATATATTTCTAAAAATTAATTTCATCTGCCAACAGCTATACATGTAAAGCTGCTTTCAAACTCTTGGTATCCACAGATACTTCAAGACACGGTATTTTTAATATATCATCTACACGTCTGCTAATACAGCCAAAAGACCAACTTTTTTTTTTTTAAATTATTATTCTGAAAGTTCTTCTAAGATTTGGTAAGCAGGCACCTCTGTATGTTGTGGATATAAAATTTAACTTTCACAGGTTACAGAAATGACATATGGAAATCAGTAAGTCATTTGGTGAAGTATGTTTTTATCCATTTTCTACCCTGATGTAACACATCATTGACAAATTCAAAAATACCGAGAAGAGGTCAGATGTAGAAATGTAAATAGACCCACATCCATGACAGTCAAGTACTTACAACACTTTACAATCCAGCTTAGTGTAAACAACGTCTGCAAAGAGCCCTCTCATTACCTTAGGACTCTTCACGCTTGTACTAGATCAGAACCAGGCCCCAGATTTTTTTATAAAAATCAAGTTAAAAGCACGAAGGGCAATAAAAGGAGAGGGTCCAGAGGCTAGTCCAGGTAACTAAGCGATCAAGCACATGCAACGAATTGCTCATAACTGGTGAATAAGCTTTAATGACTAGAAAGCCAAAAACTTCAAATGGACTGACTGGGTAATTCTGAGTTTCAGATCTGCACATAAGTGACAGATGGCTTCCAAAAGCCAACAAAACAAAAATTGATCATAGCTTCAGGGAGAATTGGTAGTGTCTGAAAATTACCTCTGTGTGAGGGATCTGAGCTCCTTTATGACAAAAGAAGTATCTGAATTTTTTTTTTTAAAGGAGAACTTTTTTTAAAACTCAACAATTATTTTATGTAAAAAAAAATTGCAGTTATCTATACCAGACTAAATTAAATTTATCATTGCTCTATGATTTAGCTAATGTCTCGATTTCAATGCATGCAGTTAAACAAAGATAAGATTAATTACTACGTGTTAGCGAGGTAAGCAGGTGTCACATGAAATGGAACAAAAGCAGCTGGTTATGTTTGTGTGTTCTCAGCTATCTAAACAAAAGGGTGTCATGCCTAAAGAGCCATCACGAGAAGTTCAAACTCTAAAGGATTCAGATTTAATTAAAATTTAAGAAAACCCCTAAAAACAAAATTCCAGCAAACAAACACATTCCTCCTCTGTACTTTTCTCTCTCTTTCCTATTAGGCGAGTTTCAGTATTGGTGAAAAATGTTAGACTGACAATCTGGGAGATAAGCTCCTGCTTGGTAACAAAGCACACTTGTCGAAGCCCCACCCTGTAGTGCCATGAGTAATAGTACAGAGAGGAGACTGACATTCCTCACAGACTTTTCCATAAAATACACCCTGGTTTTTGCTAATAAGCAATTACTAATTTCCCGTTTTTTTCTGTAAGTCTTCAAAACCTATTAAGAGACTGTTGTCACAGTGACAGCCAAACAGTTATTAAAGTGTTATATACGGAAAAAATTCCACTAATTTACTTTGCAACTTTATTTGGACAATCAGAATAGCTTAGTACATAAACCAGCAACACCACACGTTTAAATGAATCTCCTCAGCCTTGAGCTAGAGAAAAAAGGTCCAAGCATTAATACACTGTCAGTGAACAAGCCTGTATAACAAATCTCTACTGAACATCTGTGTGCAGGATCAGATAACTTAAAGGCATTAGATGCATTCGTTGAATTCTAAAGGCCTGTTATGAGAGGCAAAGAAAAAGTGTTATCATTTTAGCAGCTGAATAATCGTAACAGCCAGATCCATATGACTATTATGATGTTGCATAAACTGGTTTTGTCTGGATTGCAACTACTCTACTACTACCAATTTTTCTCACTAGTGCTCTGCATGATAACGACTAAACAAAGTTAGAATTAAACTCAGATTAACAGAAGTCCTATTAGTGAAAACAGCTTTTGATTCAAATTGCAAAAGAGCATGAACGTCAAAGGAGCCTCACTCTAAAGTCATAAAGAACAGAGATGGAAAGCAAGCAACAAGGAGTGTAAAGTAACTTTAGAAAAGGGAGAAATGGGCAGAAAAACGGGAAAAGAGGTTTTTAGTTTTCAAAATCATGTTGTCTGTTTGAATTGTTTGCTGATATTGGCTCAGTGTAAGTCTTTATGAGGAGCCACCAGTGCAATGCTGACCCAGCAGTTCCAGAACACAGACCACATACTTTGGGCTAAAGACAAAACGTTGGGTTTCTATGACCTGATGCTGACAGGTAGTTACAAAGCGAAAACAGCAATGATTATTAACACAGCTGTTTGCATTTGATAAAACAAAATGTTAATGTTAGTCCTGTGGGGTCTTTTTGATTTCACTAGTTGCATGGTTCACTGCTTCGAAGTTGTGAGCCAGTTAGCTTATCATAAGCCTTTGCATGGTCTATTCTTCTGCATGGTCTATTCCAAACACTTTTCTACTTCAGTATAAGACATACTTAGGCTCCATAATTAAAGCATCAACACAAAGCAGTAAGTTACAAAAAAAAAAAAAAAAAAAAAAAAACAAACAAAAAAAACCTGCATTCTTGCATGCTGCCAGCAGTCACAGGTATTTCAGAGTTAATTATTTTAATGTAGCTATTTGCGGACTGCTCTTTTGAGAATTTTGTGCTTGTAAAACAGGACATGGTAGGCACAATTTAAAAAATAAATTTGATTTTTAATCTTAATGTTTTCCAACATTGAGCTACTTCCTAGTACTGCAAAAGCCTGAGCTCAAGGACAACCTATGGAAAGTCTGGTTTGAATTTTTCCAGTACCCTGTTCCATCACAGACTTACCAGTGGCATGAAAGACAGTACACATGGAACAAAAAAAGGCATTTTGCTGGTAGAAATTTCAACTGATGTTCTCTTAGCTGTTCAAGAAATTAACACTGGAACCTAATCAGAAATAGCCATGTGCCTTACATACCAACAAAGAATAATGGCACCTCGATTTACTTCTGCCCAGGTCTTCATATTCTCAATACCAACACGTTCCACCAATGTTCTTCCAAAGCAAACTGTAAAATGTGGAAAACAGGTAGGGGGAAGAAAAAAAATTAGACAGTATCTTTATACAAAAAAGCCTGTTAAAAGTTCTCCGCAGTTGTGATTTAATCAAATAGTTTTTAGCCACCAAATATTCACACAGTTTTGCTCTCACCATTCAATGCAATGAATACCTTTATAGATGTTTGACTACTTCCCCGTATTGCTTAAAATTAGACAACAGCAGCCCTGTGTGACAGTTTACTAGCATAAAGCAGTCAAACCTGCCGTTTCTTTTTTAAAAGGGTGTCAAAGGCTATTCATGTCTTAAAGAAGGCATCCACTCCAAAGAAAGAACTTTGTAAGAATGACACCAACACAAGAGATAACTATATGCAATACACTAATACATACACTGCTGAAAAATGCTATGTTTTTAAGCATCTGACTCTACAACTGAAAAAACACGATTTGCACAGATGAAGTTACTTAAAACTTTAGAGCTAATCCATTACTGATGCATGAAAACCACTAGGAACCGCGTTTCTTTCAGCCGTACTGATGCTACAGGGCTCTATTTCTTCAGTAGCTTTGAAAGCTTAAGTTGATTTGCAGATTCATTACACTAATGGCATATGCAAAAGAAAGAACCTAGGCTGACCTCAAGTCCCCAGCTGAATTTGAAGAACTAAACTTCAGGAAAACTGCTCTTACAACTTGTAAGCTGAGCAAATTTATCAGTAAGCAACCAAAAAAATCCCACCCAACCCCGACAAACTCCAACCTTCACACAAACACTGAAACTATTTTTCACTGTCACTTTAGATCACAATTCCATCTGAAGAACAGGTCAGTTTTTATTCAACTTGTTCCCTACATGGTAACAATTTGTTTTGTTTTTTTTTTTTAATGCCAATTCCATAAATTCAGAGCAACAATTCCAAATGGTGCACTCTTTGGAGGAAAACAAAGAAACAAAAGGGAACAGCTTGTGTTTAAAATGGGAATTGCACAATGTTAGCAGAAATAAATCCAGATAACTATCATCATCTCAGTTACGCTAGTCTCTAAAAGACAGTCATATAAAACTTGCCCTTTGCACATTTTTAATCACCCACTTGAGAGGTAGCAAAACAGCCTCCTTTCAGAAACATTTAATGAAGCCCAAGTAACTCTTACTTTTAAAGGAAGCAGGTATCATGTAGTAAGAAGAAGAAAAGGGGAAAAAAAAAGTTTAACAAGGTCTGGTAATTCTACAAAGAGAAAAGCTCCCTGCACACAGAGAAGTTCCCTCCAGATTCTACTATGCCATCCCTACCTCCTTTCATTTTTTGAGGTTTTTGTATGAGAAAATGTAATCTCTATTAGGATATAGTGATTCACACAACAAGATTTTACAGTTATGTAATAAAGTAAAAAAAGCTAAATTAAGATGAGAACATCTGTGCCCAATCTCTGCCTTCCGGGATATAAAATAGCAAAGATGTCCTATTTTTGTGCATGAATTATTGTAGTAGCAGTTATAAAGCATTAACCCAGCAGCACTAATGAACACAGTTAAGATTACAGTTTGGCTCACAAGCAGTAATGAAACAAGTCTTCCTGATAGAAAGACTTCACTTTTTCTATTATTATTATTCTATTTCTATTATTATTCTATTTTTGTATTTAAATTGCTGTGTAATTTAGCAAAGCTATCAAGACATTTTAAGCACAGAAATGAACCCTGTCCCAAATACGCAGTAAACCCCTGAGAAAAAAAACCAGAGCAGTACTTGCTTTGCAGAAAAAGCAAACGTATGCTTGGCATTCTGTTCATATAACAGCTCACAACAGCAAAAAGTTAGAAGAAATAATCTTAGAGGATATGTTAAATTTTCTACATATTAGTATAGTCAAAGAAATAAATGCAGCAATCTTATTTTAGTTGATATAACTGATTACTCTGAAGTCGTAATTTGATCAAATAAAGCTGAATTTCCAACATACCTTCTTTTCCACTCTCTCTCATTTTTTCATCTTGCTCTATTAACCATTTCAAAACTAGATGGCCTGCTGGATGCTCTGCAATGTGAAGCTTTAAGGGGAAAAAAAAACCCGAAACAAAACCGTATTATTTAATGATGATGTTTCAAAACGCAGTTACATGTCTATCCACAAATATTCCTGCTTGATTTATCCACTCTGCCCTCAGACACCATATCGCCCTGATCCATTTAGTCATCACCTATGCAAATATCAACAAGTTTGATCTGAATACTTATTTAAACCATCCAGTCTATTTTTTACCACCTTCCTTGTAACATCTGACTTTCAGTAATGTAAACCATATAAACCAATGTTTCATCCACCCCTCCAAGGACTTCATGTTCAGCAGGGCAGAATCTCTTAAGTCTAGCTGCCTCTACAAGAACTTCCAGATCTTCCACATTTTCACAGACTTGAAAATTCAATACAGTATGGTTCACAGAAAATCACAGAAAACATGAGTAGTTCATGTAAAATTCTGTAAAATGCATATCTTAAAGAAGGGGAAAGGCAGAGCAAATTCAGCAAAACTACAAAAATCTGGAAGGCATCTATCTTAAATATAGTTTACACAACATTTCTTGTTTTCTAGTCTAAAGACACATATTTGACTGAGCTTAACTCAAAAAAACAGGGGAGGGGCACATTTTGAAGAGAAGGTCATACTGTAAAGATAAACAGCTATTATCTAAGATCTTTCCTTGCATGGAGATATGCATACCTGAAAGCTAAGAGACCCTATCATTCTCAGTGTAAACAGTCAAATGAACTACAAAAATTTATTAACTGCTTGATTGCATAGTGGTAACATTAAAAGAGAGAACAGTGTAACGTGATTGTCAGCTACCTTCCGACAAAGTGTTTAAAGCAGTTCTAAAGATTCAAGACCATGAAGTACCTTGCTCTACAACTCAGATGAAATGCTGGCTCAAACCTTCATCACTCCAGATGCAACAATAATAAACTATGAAAGGAAAATGTCAGAAAACAGAGACCATGTCTAATGTATGAGTGCTATCAGGGCAGTACGTTGACGTCTTATGTAAAGGAAAAAGTGAGCAGACTTAATTTTAGTAATACAAAATAAGCAAACGCTCTGCAAGATCTCAGCACCTCGTCCTCTGTTACATTACCTGCCCATCACGGCCACCTGGAAACAGCTCTTCTGCTGCTAAATTAGCAATTGCATCTAGCGCAGGCTGGATGTCACCAAGAGCTGTTCTTAAGATGTCAGCAACCAAGACAAAGGTAGCTTTGTCTATCACTACTTCTTGGGTATGTTCTTGCAAATACTTTAGCAAAGGTGAGGAAATGGCTTCCAGGAGTTCATGGCGGCGGAGTTCAGTATTCTTCTTACTGATGAAAGAGACAGCACACTACTGTAGAAGACTTGCTCTGTATGCACCTCAAGCAACAAGAAAATCAGAACACATACGCTACTTGAGACAGCTATAAATTATTGGAAGATCAACATAAAGCATTATTCTTCTCTCTGTTTCACGTATAATTAAACATACGTTGCACACACATTTTAAGAACACGTGGAGTGAGAAAGTGTATAGTGTTTAAAGCTGACTGCCAGTAAACCTCACAGAGTTTTTTGTTAAGATAATTTAATGTCTGTTTATTTTCTATTCTGTTATCTCAACTACTAAGATGTATTTCTTAAACAGCTCTCTAACCATCTTCAAAAGCTGATAAGCATCAGTGTCAATACCAGAGACTGAATTCAAATTAAAAATTTCCATTTTTATTGCTAGATTTTGAGATGCTTTTATGCAAATCAAAACACCAATAATGCATCTTAAAAATTTTCTGCTACGCCAAATTTGATATATGAGTTTAAACAAAGAATGCATCACAATTTCTGCCCTTTTCAAAGAGGGTAAATTGCTGATCACCAATAGATTGCTGGTCTCCAATCATCATACACGAACTTTAAACTAAGAATGCAAAAATAAGGACTACAGATTAGCATATCTAGTAATACTTATGTATTATTTATATATATTTACATTACATATTACGAAGAAAAGCTGAAATTAAATCAATCATGAGAGAAAGTTGCATGAACTCTTCTGGACTCTAGGGAAAACAACTTGACCTTCATATCTGAGTTACCTATAGGCATTTCCATCTCCCTGTTGCAGAAGCTTGATGATTTCTGGAACAAAATGTGCAGGGTCTCTAGGACTTAGCAGGTACAACAAGATCTTCTTTCCATATTTATTGTTTATTATATTGGGCAAAGAAGCATTTATTTCCTGTAAAAGTAAACAAATAGCAACAAAACATTAATGAAATAATAGTTTTGAGCCATCAGTAATTACTGATTACCTTTCAAATGCAAAGCTTAGGAAATAAGCTGTGACTATGAATAAGAATTCATATGAGTAAGATTCATATCTGTTTGTGCAATTAAATTAAAAAAATCTGATCAGAATGAAAGTTTGGAGAAGTGAGAAAAATAAAAAAAATATTAGGGTTTAAAATGTGTTCATCAGATGCATCAATGTCACTGATTAGAAAATACTACAAAAGCACAGGATTTGTTTTCACTGATACACACAAGTACAAAGAACAACACATATTGTAGTATGTCATACGCTGTACAAATATAACCTCAGTACAAGTCATAACCTCAACAGACCCGACATACAAAGGATCACCTACCGTATCACCTAGGAGTAATTACTGATACCATGCTGACTTTCAAGGGAGTGTACATAAATACCTAGACAGCAATGTCAGTCCATGGGAAGGAAAAGTCTGTCTTAAACTGATCACAGAACATTCACCAAGAAAAACTAAGTTTCAATAATAGAATAAAGCTGACTTCTGGAGGGAGTATTATTTGCAGTTTATTTGAGCACTAACAGAAAACACCGGGCATTTCCCAGAGGTTAGTCATTGGCTAGGAGTAACCACTTTGTAAACTACAGAGTGGGCACCTCATGCCCACTTGTGCACTAACATGGCTGAGGAAGAAACACATTAATACGCAGGGGAGTTTTCCTGCTTATAGAAGCATGCTGCTATATTCAGGTGGAAGCACCTATGTTAGCCATCTGTACTCAAATTTTTGTCAGCTTCTCAACAAATGCCCTTTCACACAGCAACATGCATTTTATGCAAATTCCAAGTACCACTGGAGAATCCTGAATACCATCCAGATACTCTTGACCATTATCATAATCCATTCCTGGCAACTTTTAATATACATGTAAAATTTATGATTATCAAAGCAAAGGAGGGCTGTACAGAACTCTGGGCATTTTCAGCATATTTTGCAGGCCATAGCCCTTAAAAACCCTTTTTTCCACAATGAAAATCCTTCCAGCAACAGCTAGAAAAAGATAAATAGAACAATTTAAACCAATGTCACCCTTTATTAATATGGGGCCTGGCTGGTTGTCTTTGAGGGCAAGAGAAACAGAGGAAGGTGGTTGGAAGCTGGCAAGAAACGGTAAGACAACGTTCTTATTTTGCTTAAACCTAGGTGAAAATGAGTTCTGGTAAACTGAGATGAACATCAGTTTGATGCAGCACTGTAATTATGAATAAAAACCTATCACTGTAACCTTCACACTTCAGGCATAGAAAAAAAAAAAATCTTTTCTGAGGAACAAAAGCTCCATTCAAAACCACATTGTGTCTTCTTAACATGTACATTCAAATTCAGATGTATGTGAAGTTCATTTATCAATTAAATAGATGACAAAGGTGCTGAAATATTTCAAATATTAAAACAGGTAAAGAAAATATTTAGTTAGTACAAATAAACACAAAAATCATCTGCATTTCAAAATCAACCTATAACATAGCCATTTTGCATAAAAGATAATAGACACATTTTTCTTTAAATCCTCCAAAAGTGTATTTCCCCCACTGATTCTGTGATTCCAAAGAATTACAGAATTTGGTCACTTTCAGTGGCAGAACTGTGAGAAAGTACCAGAAGAAACTCTGAATGACACAGGCATGCTGTTCTTTATTGGTAATGTCTCCCTAGCACTGCCTGCTTGGAGTCCTCACGGAAGAGAGGGATTTCCCACTAAAATCTGCCCGAATCCTGACACATGCTAAGTTCACAATTTACAGTTGCAATCACAAATGAAGGTTTAAAGGACCATACATATTCTCTGGTTCTGGATTAAGAAGACTCCGTGGAGCTGACAGATGAGGAGAAGGAAAGACTTTTCTCGAAGGATTTAAAGAGCTTAAAACCTTCCCTTACCTACAAATTCCCAGCCATTCTGCCAATCTAAACAAGTAATCAGTTTTAAAAGACTTGCCCAAACACTGCTTTTTCTCCCCTCCCCAAATCTTTATTATTTTCCTTATATTCCTTAACCTAAATTTTAGTATGGACAGAATGATAATCAGTATAAGGTCTTTTAGAAGTCTAACTGCTCTTTAAGATAATTTTAAGGGTTGGATTCTTTTATAGAGTATGCTTCAATGCTTGATTTCTAGATGCTTCGACCTCACCCTCTGCTACTAGTTTTCATTCACCACCTGAAGAGCTGGTTTTGATCTTATAGGATTTTTTTTTCCTTTTCCCTGACATCCTTTCCCTGTTCCTGACCTGATATAAACCCATATGGGCCAATTCTGTATGTGTGAAGGCCACTTCTCTTTATTTTCCTTTACTCTTCTGTCCAGACTGATGCAGTAGGATAACCAAACAGTAAACACTCCATTATCTTTGATCTCAGATGGTGGAATACCACAGATGATTCAGGAATTAAATGATACCCTGGAAGCTTAGCTAAAGCTAAACAGTATCTGAACTAATAAACCCTCCAGAAGGCAGAGTGCTTGTAACATAATACAGGAACGCCTCAATGATCTTGTACCGACAGCTCTGATCTGTCAGGGCTTATTTGCTTGGAACGTGCCCAGAAGTTGTTACATTGAAGACTGGACTCTGTAACCAAAACCCAGCTGTGATTACAGCTAATACATCCAAGAAACAAAAGCCACTTCCACGCTGGGATGCTTTCATCTCTCCACACCCATCAGAGAGGCACAGACTTAGGGCCAAATCTCCATGCTAGGGTACAAAAACCCAATTCCCCCCTATCCAAAGTTGCTCAATGGAAGAACTGCTCATATTTTTTAAAGCAAGCCTCATCATAACCACTTTCTCCTCATATTCCTCCTCCACATGCAGAGTATTTGCCTCACCTTTACCTCCCTGTCACTGCCTCTCAACCCATCAGTCCTAAAAGCTATAGCATGAATACTACTAGAAGCACATTACAACCTATACATCAATGTTAATTATCCTGCTTGCATGAAAAGTAATTGTGCACTATGAAGTCTCTTTTATCAGTGTGAAAACATAACTTAGAAGTTATAAAATTTGCATGTAAACATAATTTTAAGTATAGACACTTTATGAATATGAAACCCTATTAAATAATTTTTGGAAGGAAGGTGGGGAAATGGGACATTGCAAAAGGAAGCAGATGCAGACTAGATTATACTACCCTTACTGTTCATTCTGCAATTCCATATAGTTGAAGTAAAAGAGCCAGAGTGCTCTCATGTTTCAGACATCTATCTGTATCCATTTTGGAAACAAGATAAAAAAATTACATGGATTTTATCCAGAATGTTAGTTGTCATTTAATTATCAACATATTTAGTAAAAATGTAAAGTTTTGAGAATTAATGAGAGCTAATGATTTTGGCATCCAACCAAAAGTCTCTGAGTACTTTTTCTTGTTTGAAGTCATGGTATACTATATTCAGGCCTGTTGCCATGTTCCTGAAAGTTTACTATAGTTTATCTTGAAGTATCTCTTTCCAAGATGCTACTTCTGCAAAGAAAAGAGCTAAATGTGCTAAACAACCTTTTCTACAACAATAAGTTTGCACAATAAGGACATTCTAGGCACGGATATTCTAGACAGTTTAGTAAAATGAGTAAGATGATCCTCATTCTGAAGTTTTCCACCAATTTAACCCCTTGAAATACTAGCAGAGCTCAAACTTCTATGACAAAAACATTGACTTTAAAGAGATTCCAGTTATCCATTAGCCAGAATGAACAAGCACAAAAAGGGTAATTTTCAGAAAGCACTGAATCTAGCTTAAAAACTCATTCAAATAAATAACTAAAGAGAACATGTGAAAGTGCTGACATCTTCTAAGAAAAAAAAAATCATGATACACAAATATAATGAAACAGAATAGGCAGAAAGGAATTAAATGGTTTGAAAAAAGCAGATGGATGCCTACTCTCATCCTCCTATACACTGACAAACATACTGACACTATTTAGTATACTATTTTAGGAAAAACTCAATTACTTACAGATATAATTAACTGTTTCACAAGTTTAGTGTCATCGATGCAATCAAATGCTGCCAGCAAGACCAGATGAGAAAATTCACCCTGCAAAAATGAGACGTCAGAAACCACATGCAGTCAAGTTCTGTAAGTATACTAACTGACTTAGAATCAACTTTTCTGAGAGTTTGTCTCAAACATGACACAACATGAACCACAAGCAAATACTGTCTGTCATAGAATGAGAGAAGCCCAACATTTAGGCTCTCTCTAAAAGCAAGGCTTGTTAAGAGAAGCATGTTGTTAAAACAATGGTAGATTAAGTTGATCTGCCATTATAAATTGATATATACTGCTTTATCACATCTGAGCTATTAGCCTAATCCTATTGTTTAATCATAATTTGAAATCATAGGATTTGCCTTGCAGGAACATTACATACAGATTTTATTTCTACGGTGGATTTGCTTAAAACAGATAAATCACATACCGTCTTTTTGGAGATCGTGTCTCTGCAATGAGCCACATGGTCTCTACTGCATTGCTGGAGAGCAGTCTCTAGCATACTCAAAAGGGCACAACCCAATTCACTTGTATGTCAGCAAGACTCTATGTCGAAGTGAAGCCAGACCTTCAGTGTTCCAGTGCTGTTCTAGCTATTATCTACCCACTGTCTCATATTTCTATATAATATATATTTTA